CAGCCCCTGAGCTGGGATCACTGCCCAGATCTGAGCATTTTTTGGGATGTCATATTTGGTGGCTGAGGAGGGAGGGGACAACGATGGGGGGTGACAAGGACAGTGTGCCCCACCTGCTCAGACGCGCCTCTGAACATCCCGGGGGGGAATGCCTCTGGGGGGGGTGTGAGGTAAATTCTGCACCCCAAAGCCACCCCCGCTTTGAGCTGTGCAGGCAGGACACAGCTCCCCCGCCCCAGCCAGACGACCCCACCCTGCCAGGGAAAGGAGGGCACCGCAGCCCCGGGCCCACCCCGGACAGCACCGACCGCCCCTTCGGGCAGGACCCCCCGCCCGTTCCGCGGGGCGGTGCGGCTGTGCCGGGTGGTGCGGCCGTGCCGTGCCGTGCCGTGCCGTGGGGGTGTGGGCGCGCCCTGCCCGCACAGGGATCCCCCGGAACCCCCGGAACCCCCCGGGATCCCCCCGGAACACCCCGAACGCTGGTCCTGACCCCAAAACTCCACCGGGAGGGACGGGACTCCCTCCGCGCCTCCCGTCGCCCCATGGGGACGGCAGGGGAGGGACGGGACTCCCCCCGAACCCTCCCTGGCTCCCCTCTCGCTGTGGGAAGGGGGCTCTTCCCGGAACAACTCCCGGCCTTTCCTCATAACCTCCTAGCGCCGTGGGGCGGAGCTGCCCCCATAACTTCCCATAGCCGGGGAGGGAGGGGGCTCCACTATAAAACCCCCCCGGGCTCCCTCCGTGGCCCCCTCCCGCCTTGGGGAGGGGGCTCGCCCCTCGCCGCCCAGCCCAGCCTCTCCAGCTTGCCGCCCCCTCGGAGCCCTGTTCTTCCCATCCTGCCCCCTTCACACCTCTTCCCACACCCCCCTCAAGCTCCGACCTCCATGTGCTCACCCCCAAGACACCCCTGCCCGTACACCCCCCCCACAATCCCCATATACCCCCCTACTCATCCCTCCCAGGGCCCCACCCCTCACTCCTATCCTCAGGCACCCCCATCCTGCAGATGCAGCCTCTGCATTCCCAACCATCCCCTCATCAAAAACACGCCATCTGTGCCCCCAACACCCCACATCTATCCCCACCCCCCCCAATTACACCCTGAAGCACCCCCAACCCCTAAAATCCCTCCACTCGCAAACATCATCCATCCCCATCTATGTATCTCTACATTCTCACTCCCCTGAACAGACCCCATGCACCCCAAATCCCACATTCTCCCCAGTTCCCTCTGTGAACCCCTAAATACCCCCTCAGATTACAGCCCGAGCCCCAGCCCCACCTCCTGCAGCCCCCTATGCCCCTGAAGGTGTTGCCCGACCTGGGCATGGGGATGCTGGTGGGAGTCAGGGCATCTGGGGGGGTCAGGGTAAGAGCCTGGGGGTCTGGTGGTGTGTGCCCAGTTAGGGGATCTGGTGCTGGTCACCCCATACTGGGATGAACTGGGGGACTGCACAGGTAGGGGATCCCTGCACCCAGCACACTGAGCCCTGCCCAACTCAGTGCACAAATGAGCCCTGCAAGTTTGGCCTCAGCCTCGCTGGTCAGTCTGGATTGAATGCTCAGTAATGGGGGGACAGAATTCGGGTGGGGGTCCCTTTACCCCCTTCTCAAGGCCCTATGACATCCTGATGGGGATGGGGTAGTGCTCGTGTGTCGTGAGGTCATGGGATGGAGGTGGCAGAGTGACAGCTGGGACAAGGTGGGGCATGGAGTGTCTGGGATTCCCCCACCCCAGGTGAAATCTGGAGGAAATGGGGCTCTCCCGGTGCTGCCTGAGTTCATCAGGATGGGGGCTGTGCCCCCTTCCACCCCCTGACATGTCCTTGTCCTTGAGGTGCTGTCACAGCCCCCTCTCTGGTGGCAGTGCCACAGATGGCGTGCCCCTGTGTGCCCCCCAGCCAGCCCCAGATTTCGGGTACTCTCCTCTGGCAGGGGGGGTGCCTCTTTACTGCCACTTAAAGGACTGTCACATGTGGTGACACCCTCGGTGACGCTGGAGGTGGCTGCTGAGAAACAGCTTCGAGTGGGTTGGGGCTTCCCCCAGTGCCCCGTCACCACTCGCTGGTCACGCTTCTCATGCTATTTTTGGGGGTCGCGGGGGCGGGGGTGCCACCCCAAAGCCTCCCCCCGGCTCTCCCAGCCCCTCCTGGGGGGCTTCGTGCCAGGGGGTGTCCCTGCATGACAGGCACTGGAGTGACCTGGGAGTGTGGGGTGAGTGGGGACAGGAGGGGGTGTCTGGAGTGGCGGGAGGCAGACGGACAGATGGACAGGCGGGCGGACGGGCATCTGGAGAGACAGATGGAGAGACGGAGGGACAGATGGATGAAGGGGGTGGGAGACGTGATCACAGAGGCTGAGGGGTGGGTGGGTGGACTGACAGAGGGGTGGAGGGACAGAGGGAGAGGAAGGACAGAGGGTGGGTGGAAGGACAGACGGGTGGGTGGATGGATGGATGGATGGATGGATGGATGGATGGATGGATGGATGGATGGATGGAGGGTGCATGGAGGGTTGGACAGAGGGTTGGATGAAGGACATAGGATGGACAGGGGGATAGACATACGGATGGGTGAGTGGACAGAGAGTGGGGTGGACAGGCAGAGACATTGGTGGGTGAACAGAGAGGGGAGTGGACAGAGAGACTGGTAAATGGATGGACAGAGGGATGCACACACAGGAGATGGAGAAATGGTGGGTGGTGGGAGTGGGTGGACAGACAGGTGAATGAATGGATAGACAGAAGGATGGGTGAGTGGAGAGACAGGAAAATGGACAGAGGGGTGGGTGGATGGACAGAAGGGTGGGTGAATGGAGAGCCAGGAAAATGGACAGAGGGGTGGGTGGATGGCTGGAGGGGTGGAAGGATGGATGGACAGCAAGATGGATGGCAGATGGATGGGTGGATGGCTGGAGGGATGGGTGGGTGGAGAGACTGGTAAATGGACAGGCAGCAGGATGGATGTTCAGAGGGATGTCTGGACAGGCAGAGGGGTGGACAGACAGTCAGGCCTGTTGGGGCATGCCAACAGCCCAGCCCAGTTTTCATGCCATTCCCAGTCCAATCTCTGCCAGCTGCCTCCTGCCTCAATTTCCCCAACTGGTCAACACCCCCTGAGAGAAGCCAGATCACCTCAGCCTGGGAAGTCCCCAGCTTGTTGATGTTACATGAATGTCACACTGTCCTCAGCTCCTTGTCTGGGGACTCAGGTTGAATTTAACCCCAGAGTGGCACCCCAGGACTCGCCACTCCTGTGCCAGCTTTGGGGACCCTTTGATGGGTGGGAAGGCAGCACATCCTGCAGATGGTGACAGCAGGACTTCTCCCTGGCAGGAGATGACAGCCAGGAAAGCCACGTGTTCCCTGGGTAATTGTTTGTTCCTGTCAGCTTGGGTATTTTTGGAGCTTTTCCTTCCTCTGCTCTCCCGTTCCTTTTTGGAAGCAGCAGCTGGTGAAGAGTAGTGGGTGCTCCTGGGCCCGGGGGAAGGGGGATCCCTGTCAGCTACAGGCAGGTTCTGGCTACAAATGCTCTACTGCAATAGAATATCAATTTATAATATGTATAATATAATGTATAAATACATTCTATTTAATTTACATAATCATTACACACAGTGATGCCAGCCATCCCCAGACAGCCTCCAGGCTCCCAGCTTGATGTCACTCGAGGATCTTTGGGATCCCAGAGCTTTGTGCCAACCCCCCAAGTGTGAATTCCCCATCTCTGGAGCCCTGTGATTCCCTGGGAACATGGCTGCCAGTGACGTAGCTGGTGACCTTCCTTTGGGCAAAAAGCCACCAAGCGTGTCACCCTTTCGGTGGCACGGAGCAGGCAGCCGAGTTAGAGGGTCCCCAGTTGTTTTCCGAGGTGATGAGTTCCCTTGCCTCAGTTTCCCCGAGGTTTCTGGTGCCACGTGGCCTCCTCCCAGCCCTGCCAGGCACGTGGCGCTGGCGGCAGCCCCACGTCCCCTCCAGCGCTGGTGGCGGGTGATAAGCGGCTGGCGAGTGGCACGTCTCCGAAATCAAATTACCTTTGATGTCGCCAGGGCTATTTTCATCCCTGCTCGGTCACGTTGGTCCTGCACCCGCTGGCACCCGCGTCATTTAAGCGTTCTCCGGGTGCTGTGTCATTCCCTCCCCGCTTGGTCCCCTCCCGACAGCCCCGAGGACACCTCTGGGCCCCGCCGCCCCCCCGGCATCGGTACCTGGCTGTGCTCGGCTCCCTTTGCCCTCCCCACTGCAGCCAGAAGCTGGGGACCGACCCCCACCCAACGGGGTAAAGCTGGGGGGTGTCAGCCAGAATCGGGGGGCTTTTCCCATGGAGCTGAGCAGGATCGGAAGGCTCCCTGCACCCCCCAATGGCAGGATGGGAACCAGCCCCACACGCCCCCATGGGGGAGACAGGGCTGGGATGCAGTGGGGGTGTTTTGGGGCTGTATAGGATTTTGGGGGAGCAACCCACCACGGGGCGGGAGGGTTACAGGTCAGGGAGGGTTACAGGCTACCGACCCACACGGTTTCCTGCGGGAAATGTGGGTCAGTGGATGGGAGAGCCTTAACCCTGGTCCTGCTGGGCTGGTGCCACCCAGGTGGGACTCGAGTAGGGAACAGCATCCCCCAGACCACAGGTTTTCCTCTGGATATGGATGGTAACATCATCTGTTTCTCCAAATAAATCCCAAATCAAAAGTGTGGGCTGAGGGGGAGGTAACATGCCCTCAACAGAGGCAGGCTTGTCATCTGGGGTTGTAAGCTGTCCCAGAGGAGCAGGTTTTTTGAGGGAGCATTTTCTCCCCTCTGATACCCACCTCCAACTCATCTATGATCCACCCTCACTTGGCTTGGGGGATCCCAGCACTTTTCCCACCTGGCAGCTGGGGGGCTTGGGGGTCAATCAGGACTGAGGTCCTCCTACCCCCTTGACACCCTGGTGGGAGTGCCCAGCCTTTCCCCAGTCTCAGCCTGATTTTCTTCCCTCCTTTTGTCCCCACAGTTAAAAAGGCCAAGTATGATGGGCCCCAAGGTAAGTGAGACCTCACCTGAGGGGAGAGGGTGGGGGGATCTTGGGCTGGTTGGGTGTGGCAGGATCAGAGGAGGGGCTGGGGAAGGGGGGCGAGGGGACCCTTAGCACTGGAGGCATCATTTGGCAAGCTGGGGACACACACGCAAATGGGGGTGCCCTGGACTGGTACATCTACCAGTCCTGACAGATGTAGGATCCCTCCTGGGACTGGGGTGCTGAGGGAAGTGTGTATAGGGGTGGCAGGGGCAGTGTCAGGGAGTGGGGACACACTGGGTGTCACTTCACCCTCTGCTTGTTCCCACAGAGAAGTTTAACACCTACGTGACCCTGAAGGTGCAAAATGTCAAGAGCACGACCATTGCAGTACGGGGCAACCTGCCCTCCTGGGAGCAGGACTTCATGTTGTGAGTGTCCAGGGGTCCCCTGAGCTCCCCCATCCCTGCTGCTCCCCCTTGCCCCCATAAATAACACAGGGAGTCTCCCACTGCCCTGACCCCAGATCTGAGGGTCTCGCCTGAGCCTGAGGGGACAGGTAGAAGCTGGGGTTGTCCCAGGAGGCTGCTGAGACCTGAGGGGGGTTAACTTCATGGGGGTAACCTGATACCTTTCCTGTCCCCAGTGAGATCAATCGGCTGGACTTGGGCCTGACTGTGGAGGTGTGGAACAAAGGGCTCATCTGGGACACCATGGTGGGCACGGTGTGGATCCCCCTCCGGACCATCAGGCAGTCCAATGAGGTAGGGAGGCAGGCACAGGCACCTCCCTGCTGTCCCCCAAGGGACATGTGCCACCCCCAGCTGTCCTTTGGGCCAGGCAGAGCCTTCCCCGTCCTGCCTGGGGCCACACCCTGTGTACTGGGGTTGTGGGGAAGTGAAAGGGGGGTCTGGGAGCTCTCCTCACCCCATTTCTACCTGACAGGAGGGCCCTGGGGAATGGCTCACACTCGACTCCCAGGTCATCATGACCGACAACGAGATTTCAGGCACCAAGGATCCGACTTTCCACCGCATCCTCCTCGACACGCGCTTTGAGCTGCCGCTGGGTGGGTGGCCCCGGCCCTCGGGCTCAGCCGGTGTCCTTCCTTGCCCTCAGCCCCAGGGATGCTCTTGAGCTTAGAAGCTGAGGCTGAGGGTCTGATCCTGTGGCCCCAAAAGCTTGAGGGCTGTTTTGGGAGGTCTGTGCACCAGCTGGGGTCTTTGCCCTCACAGATATCCCTGAAGAGGAGGCCAGGTACTGGGCCAAGAAGCTGGAGCAGCTTAACGCGATGCGGGACCAGGATGATGTGAGTGCTGCCAGGCCTGGGGTGAGGGGGCAGGGGCAGTGCTGCCAGCAGAAGCTCTCACCAGTCCCTTTCTCCTCAGTATGCCTTCCAGGAGGAGCAGGAAAAACCTCTGCCTGTGCATGGCTCACAGTGCTGTAAGTGCTGCCCTGTCCCTGCCCCGCTGTGGGACCCCCACACCCTCCTTTCCCACACCGAGGAATTTGAAGGGGTGGGCTCCACATCTGCTTTGAGGCATTGGACCCCAAACCAAGTGGGATTCAACTTCAACCCATACCTGGTCCCCATCCCCGTTCCTGTTGTCCTTCCTGTGTTTGCCAGTGTTTCTCTGCTGTTTCCCAGCTTCACAGTGGCTGAGCCTTCCTATGGGTGGAGGGGAGCAATAGGAGCAATGGTGCTGATGAGGACAGTTCTTCTGGGGCAAGGGGCAGCAGGCTGATGTTGGGGGCTGCTGGATGAGGGCCCTGCAGAGGCATTTGGGATAGCAGCTCAGTTTGTCCCAACGCATGCCTCAGTTCCCCCTTCTGTAACCACCCCAGGGGCATGCCCCTGTACCCACCCTCAGGCCCTGTCCCCTGTCAGTGCCACCATCCCTGGCCATAGCACTGTCCCCAGCCTGGGTCAGTGACACCATGCCCACACCAGCACTGTCTCCAGTCCAGCTTGGTGTCGACATGTTCAGGCTCAGGCAGTGTCCCAGTGCCAGTGTGCCCCATCCTGGCTGCTGTCCCCAGGGCAGTGTCCCCTACCCAGTGTGCCCTCTGGGGAGATGCTGGTTCCTCCCAACCAGCTGCCTCCATATTTATTGTTTCTGCCCCTTTCTTTGTAGGCAACTGGAATTATTTTGGCTGGGGAGAACAGCAGAGTAAGTATCCTGCCCACTCCTCTCTTCCCAGCCTGGGCGTCCCCAGCACATCCTTCTTTGCCTGGCCCAGGGCTCAGAGGACCTGGAGCTTGGGTCTAGCCTGTGGCCTTGTGCCATGACTCTGTGTAGACTTGGGTCTAGCCTGTGGCCTTGTGCCATGACTCTGTACTGGGTGAGGACAGTGTCACCAAGTACCCTGTCCTGGGCAGGGCTGTCCCCGTGGGCTGGTGGGGACATGGCACCACGGAGCTCTGTGCTCTTGGGGTGTCCCAGTGACAATGAGCAGCTCGGGCTTTGCCTCTGTGATGGAACATTGGTGGGGCAGAGGGAGGGTCCCTGCCCCCCTGCCCCCATCCTCTTCCCCCTTCTGTATGTTCCAAATTCCCTCTCCATCTTCCCGTCATCCCCCCAAACCGTTCCTGTGCTGATAACATGTCAGCTCGTCCCTCATCCTGCCCTGGGCCCACCTCCCCAGCACGGGCCCACAGTGGTGGGGACACAGTGGTGGCACTAAAGGGTCTGTGCAGGGTGGGGGCAGATTTGAGCCATCCCCTGCCCCGCTCACTGTGGCCTCTTGCAGACGATGACCCTGACAGTACCGTGGATGACCGGGACAGTGACTACCGCAGTGAGACCAGCAACAGCATCCCCCCACCCTACTACACCACGTCCCAGCCCAACGCCTCTGTGCACCAGTACCCCATGAGGCACCAGCAGCAGAGCTCCCGCGACTCCTACACTGACTCCATGCAGAGCTACGAGATGGACTACTCGGACCAGGCTCCCATCAGGTAGAGTGGCCACAGCCAAGTCACCCTGGGCCTGGCTCTCTCAACCTCCCCTGCAGGTGACAGAGGCCAGCAGGTCCCCAGGGTGATGCCAGGGATGGCACTCCCAGTGCGGTGGGTGACAGAGGGAAGGATGAGGTGAGGAAGAGCAGGGTGGTTCTGGCCCCATCCAAGCCTTTCCTTCTCACTGTGAAGTTTTCAAATTCTTTTGGGTCACTGCCCTCCTCTGTCCTCACTGGGTTTGGGGCCCCCCACCCCTGGCTGTCCCTGCTGGGAGCTGGGCAGTGGAGCGTGGGGTGGCTGGGGACACAGACGTGGCAGAGCCCAGCCCTGAGTGTCAGCCCCATCCAGGTGGACAGAGCCTCCCTGCCAGCGTCCCCACGGCAGCAGGGGGTGGCGGGTGGCGGTGGGACCTCGCTGACCATGTTCCTCTCCTCCCCTGGCAGACGCTATGGTAGCGTAGACTCTGCCGCAAACGGACGCAGCGACGCTGAGTCCGGTTCTGAGTCGAGCAGGCGGACCAGCCGCCAGCCTTCCCTTGAGAGCAGGCGGTCCCTAGACCTATCGGATAGGTGGGTCGCTACCTGTGCCGTGTGCCGTGTGCCGTCGCAGAGTGCTGTGGTCGGTCCTTGCAGCCATGGTGAGGCCAACACCAGTCCTGGCAAGGGCGGCCTTGTGCCACCCTCCCCACCCTGAATCAGCCTGGTACAGGGACAGCTTTGGGATGCTCCAGGTGTCCCCCCAGCCCCTCTTGCTGCTGCACCCAGTTCATGGGGTGACATCCCGGCATCCTGGTCCCACTTGCTGCCACTGCGACTGTCTGGCAGCACTGCTGCCTGTTCCTTGTCATGTCAGTGGGTGTGGGACTGGGCCCTTGGGGACTCAAATGCCATCCCCTGTTCCTGGTCATCTGCCAGGGTATGCCTGTCTGGGCAAAAGCTTCATGCAGTGATTTGGGATCCTACGATGTGCCACGAGCACCTCTCCCAGCTCTGGCCAGGATCAAGATGGGGAGGTGTGGGGTTTCAAGTGTGAGCTGTGTCTCCTGCATCCCTGTACCCCAAGTGCTCCTTCCCAAGGTACCTGGATGATGCCAGTACCCGTCCCAGCTGGGACCAGCCTGAGCCATCCCCCAGCACTCTCTTCCCTGCGGTGTCCCCTGGCTTCCCACAGCCTGGTTCAACCACTCTGGGCTCTGCCCAGCCCAGCCCCTCGCCTTTGTCCCCCCATGCACCCCCTGAGCCCTGGCTGCCAGTGCTGGAGATGTGGTGTCGGCCTCTTCCTCGGCATGTCCCTGTCCTGTCTGCATGTCTGCTTCTGTCAGCCTGTCCCCACGGAGCCACGGGGCTGCCCTGTCCCTGGCAGCCTCCGTGGGCACAGGGCCCCTGTGGGCCTCCCAGTGCAGGCAGCTGTGAAAGGAGAGGGCTAGAAGGGCTGGGGGGGCAGATGGGGTGGGGTAAGGAGTCTGGCCTGGCAGCAAGAGCAGAGAGGAGCCCCCTGGGTAGGGATGGTGTCAAGAGGAGTGAGGGGGTTGAGGGGGTGTCTTGGGGTGGGGGTACCTGGGAGGGCTGCGCGGAGCACGGGTGACAGATCTGTGTGTCAGGGGCAGGACAGGGTGTCTGGCAGCAGCGGGAGGCAGGATCTGGCTGGGGGTGCTGCTGCCCCCACCCCTGGCTGGGGTGAGCCTAGGAGACAGACACTGTCAGCCCCATCCCCACTGTCAGCCCAGGCACAGGCAGGGAGCTCAGAGTGCCCCTGCTTGGGGGGCTGGTTCCAGCCGATGGAGTTTCCTGGTTCTGTGCCTTCAGCTCCCAGGATGAGGAGCCCAATGCTCCCGATGGGAGCTGCACATCCTCCCGCCCCTGGTGCAGGGCCCCGGGGCTCTGCCTGGGGTGACACGGACCCATGGGAGCCCTGTCCTTGTGTCCCCTCGCCCCTCAGCCCCACAGGGAGCAGCCGCTACGCCTCGTCGGCCGAGCTGAGCCAGGGCAGCTCCCAGCTGAGCGAGGACTTCGAGAACGAGAGCCTGAGGGACTCGGAGCTGGACGAGAGGGACGGGGACTCCTACCACTCCTGCCACAGCTCCGTCAGCTACCGCAAGGACTCGCCGCGCTGGGAGGAGGAGGATGATGATGATCTCTACCTGGAGGAGGAGGAGGAAGAGTTCATTGAGGACTACAGTGAGACTGAGGAAGGCTACCCCAAGGAAGAGGAGTTGGAAGAGGAGGAGGAGGAGGAACTGCGGGAGCAGGACACCTATGAACCCCCTGAGCATGAAACATACCCACCACCACAGAAACCCCTGCCACAGCAGCAGCAGCAGCAACAGGTCCCACAGCAGCAGCAGCAGCAGCAGCAACAGCAGCAGCAGCAGCAGCAACCCCAGCTGGTCCCACAGCAGAAACCTCAGCAGCAGGAAAGGAAGGAGGAGAGGAAAGAGGAGAGGAAAGAGGAAAGGAAGGAGGAGAAGGACACCTCTGCTCCCCAGGAAGCCCCTGAGGCCCTCCAGGCCCAGCGGGCAGAGGAGGAAGTTCCCCTGCAAGAGGCAGCCCTGGAGACTGAGCCCTCAAAACCAGCTGAGAGGTAGGAGGGGAAGCTGACCTGTGGTGTCCCTGGGATGGCATTGTGCCTGGAGGCACTGAGGATGCTCTGGAGGTGGCTTAGGGGTGGAGCCACCTCCAGGTGGCTCAGGATGGAGCCACCTCTGGTGCTTGGCGCAGGACCAGGGACCTTCTGCTGTATCTGGAGCTTTTCCAGGTGCCTGAGCCATCGAGGTGGGGGAAGCCCACCTTGTGCCACCCAGGCAAGAGCCAGCACCCTGGGCATGCTGCCTGAGCCCAGCCTCCCCCTGTGCTAAGCATGGCTCAAGGTGTTCAAGAACCTGCTGGGGCTACAGGGCTGCAGGTTTATAACCTGGGACAAACATGGGGCTGGGGGAATGGGATCTCAGGGCTGTGATTCCTCTCCTCTGGTGCAGGCTCTTAGCACCCTGGGTGGAGCTTGGTCAGAGGAAGAGATTTCCTTTGCAGAAGTCAGTCCTCTCCCTAGGCCTGGTAGAAGCTCATCCATGGCCTCCTGTGGTGTACAAGTGAATTAATTGGTGGTCAGGTTCCTGGTGCAGCATGTGAATAATTCATGTCTTGGAGACAGATTGTTCAAATATCATTATTGATCATTTCCATTTTCAGAGAGTGTCACTCCTCTGTGCAGAGGTGAACTGCTGTGATGGGCTTTTTCAGCCTTTTATTTAGTTTAAAGTACACACCAGGAATGGAGAATCTCAAATTTAAACCAATGTATAATGAGCTGTTTTTAAAAATTCTGGATATTTAGTCCCAAGACCTAGCAGGCACCTGAGGGCCTCAGGTCATGTCTGCCTGCAGTATCCACTGGGCAGGGGACTTAGAGGTCCTGTGCTAGGATTTGGGGACTGTGGATTAGTGCTGGGGACCATGCATTGTGCTGAGAATCCCAGACTGTGTTGGGACCCCAGATTAGTTCTGAGGGCCTCAAATTAGTACTGATGACCCCAAATTAGCTTTTGGGACCCTAGAGTAGCACTGGAGATTGTGGATTACTGCTGGGAATCACAGGTTAATGCTGAGGATCCCAGGTGAGCACAGACAGAGCCCCCAGGTCTGAGCAGGTTCATCTTCTGAGCGCCCCATGGCCTCTTCCCAGAGCAGTTCTGGGTTCCTCTCTCCAGTGTCACATCACACCAGGCTCTCCAGGAGACTGGTATGTTTGGAAGATTTCTTTGCTTTTCCTCTGTGTCTTGATTTTGTAGGAGAGGAGAAAGAACCCCACAACACCCAGCATGTCCAGGCAGACACTTTTCCCTGGGCTTGGAACCAGTGGGGTGTTGGGTGCTCTTTACCCAGGAAGCTGTGGTGGGAAGTGGCCGGAGGATATTGTGCTGGGGAGATGGGGGCAAAGGATGTTTAATTCACATGCTTGTGTCACCAACTGTCCCCTCTGTGTCACTTGGGTGCCCAGGGCAGGGTCTCCTGAGGGTGGGGAAGCTTCTGGCTTCTCCTCAGTGTTCTGCCCTGATTGTGGTTGCCCTTTGCAGTGGGACCTGCTGCCTTTTCAGTCCTTCCTGGTACCAAGAGGCAGTTTTGCCATGGCCACACTGTCTCAAGGAACATCAGGATCTCCAAATCGCAGCCTCAGACGTGCTGGGGGTGTGGGGGCTGCTCCCCCTCCATGGTGCTGTGCTGGGAGGTGACAGGGGATGTGTGTGCTTGCAGGGAGCCAGCAGAAGAGGAGGTGCAGGACCCCAAAGCACGAGCCAAAGCCAACTGGCTGAGAGCCTTCAACAAGGTCTGCATGCAGCTGCAGGAGGTGAGGACCCCCTGGCCACTGCCACGGCTTGGGGCTGGGGGCACAGCCCCTTTCCACACCTGGGCAGCTTCCAGGGACATCCACGGACTTGGTGGTGCCAACAGTGGTGCCCACAACCCCATTCCCACCAAGTGGGATGCCCCAGAGGTGCTGGGAGTGCTGAGGATCCCCTGTGTGTGCTGCATGCATGTGCTGGTGCGAGACCCCCCGCCCTCTCCCCTCTGTTGAGTTGACAATATTTTGTTTTGTTTTTAGACTCCATCCTCCATCTTTTCTTTTTGTTTTGGCTCTGGATTCGCTCCCCGGGGTCTCGATCCCCCTCCCCACCGCTTCTCTTTTCAGTTGTCCACCACCATGGCCCTTGCACCCGCGTCTCCCCTTCCTGCAGGGAAGGGGTGTAGCCTGCCTGCAGGTAAGCATGTCCCCCTGGAACCTCCCAGCCCTGTGTGTGCCTTCCCTGTGTGTGTGTGTATGCTCAGGGATTGCCCATGAAGGAAGGGTAATGGTCTCTCTCTGCCCTTCTTCTCCAAAAATAATCCCCTGCCTGCAGGGGTAGGTGGCACTGCTGGATGATCCCTGCACACACACCCTCTTCCATGTGCTCTGGCTTTTCCCTGCTCTTCTTTCCAACTGCTGTGGGTCCCTGAGGACCTGCTGAGCTTTTGTGATGCTTCTTGACTCCCCCAAGCCCTGAATTTTCACACAGTGTAGCCATGCCCCCTACTTTGCCAGCCTCATCCCCTTTGCTGAAGCCCACCCACTTGCTCACCCAGGTCAGCCTCCTGAAGAGATTTATTCCCAGTGCTGGCTCTTTGCTGGGAAGAGCCCCCTTGGTTTTGGAGCACACTTTTCTCTGCCCACCCTGCTCATCCTTCCCTGCTCCCCCAGTGCTGTGAGCATTCACTGCCCTGGGGGGGCTGTCCCCACGCTGGTGGCTCTTGCTGGGCCCTGACACTGTCCCTTGTTTTCCAGGCCCGCGGGGAAGGTGATGGAGAAAAATCCCTGTGGTTCAAAGGCGGGTGAGTACAAGGGGAAGCTGGGTACATTCTGCCACCTGGGATGTCAGTCCCCCTCCTCAATAGGATGTGATTAATGAGCTCAGCATTAATGGGCTTGTGTGGGGAAGGGTTGCCAAGCTGTGGGCATTCAGGGAAGCCAGTCTTTTGGAGCTGAATTTTGGGGCTGGTCAGTGCTTCTGGAAGAGCCAGCAGACATGACATTGCTCTGTGACCCCAAGAGCTGCTGCTGAGGGGGAGAGCGAGGAGGTGAGTTGAGATGGGGATGAGGAGGGGTGGCAACTCCTGCTTCCCTCATGGAGTGGTGTCATGGGGAATCCTGAACCTCTCACCTGGATGGCCTGGAGGTCTCAGTCCTGTCTTGCCCTCACAGACAGCAAGGACCACATGGACCTGGGCAGAACCTGGTAGGTTGCCTGAGAACCCTCAGATCACTCCAGGGATTTCTTTCTAGCAGGGCTGTGAAGTTCCATTCCTGCCTTGGGTTCCCTGGCAGCAAAACTTGAGGCTCACCTGCTCAGTGCTCCTCTTTGGGGTCCCAGAGGGAGCCCCAGCTCTCCAGCCTCACAGTGCAAAGCCAAAACTGACTAAGCCAAATAGGCAGTTTTTCTCCTGGGTTTCACTGTTAAGCTTCACGTGGGGAAAAATCACAGTTTTTGCCAAAATCCCTTTTCCCTTAGTTTTTAGTCCAGTGATCCCTACCCTGGTTGGAGTGGTGGTGGGGATGGGGATCCCATGGGTGGGTCCCTGGCCACACGGGGGTTGCTTTGCAATCCTATTCACCAAGTCCTAGATATTGAGCAGAAATCCTTTCCTGTGAGGGTGGTGAAGCCCTGGCTCAGGTTGTTCAGTGCAGCTGTGGCTGCCCCATCCCTGGAAGTATCCAAGGCCAGGTTGGCAACCTGATCTAGTGGAAGGTGTCCCTGCCCTTACCAGGGCATGGAACAAGATGGGCTTCAAGGTCCCTTCCAACCCAAACCATTCCGTGGTTCTCTGAAGTGCTGAGTGACTATGGGGCAACAGCAGGGGGCCCCTTCCTGCCTCAGTTTCCCCTTGCCCGCTGACTCTCCTCTCTCTTGCAGGCCTGGTGGTGGGCTGATCATTATAGACAGCATGCCGGACATTCGCAAGCGAAAACCCATCCCCCTAGTTAGCGATTTGGTGAGGTTCCTCCCAAGGCACCCCCCCACAGCTGCCAGCTTTGCTCCTGCTGCGCCCCACCGGACTGCGCCGCCCGTGCCCCACTCCCCAGCTGCCTCTAACATGGCTTGTGTTCTCTGTTTTCTTTCCTGTGGCCTGGCTGGGCCTTCCCTGCGGCAGGGGGGCGGCTGTAAGGTTTCTGCGCTGCATTAACAGCATGCCCGACATTAAGCCTGGACGCAAATCTCTCCCTCTAGTCAGCGATCTGGTGAGCGCGGTGCGAGGGGTTAAAGAGACAGCGCCCTTGGGGATGCCAGCCAGCCCTCAGTGCCCCCAGCCCTGCCAAAGGGGGGCGGGGGTGTCCCACACTGCCTGGGGGGCTCCTGGCCCTCCTTGCAGTGGGGAGCTGGGCTCTCCCTACCCGAGGGTGCTTCTCTTTAACGGAGCTCTGGTCCCTACCCCAAGCATCAGCCTAAGGTTTCCCAGGGCTGTATCTGGTTTCCCATTTTTTTACTGGTGCTGTGTCCCTGGTCCCTTCCTGTCCCAGCTGCCGTGCCAAGCTGTCCCTGCAGCTTGGAACACACTGGTGCTGGACAGACAGACCCCAGATACCAGGGGAGGGCTGGCAATGGCTTTTCCAAGTTGCCCAGACCCTGTGCTCCTGTCCCCACTGTCCCAGTGTGTGGGGCTGGAGACCCCCAATGTACAGGCCCCCCATTATGGGGTCCCCTCCAGTCCCTGGGCTCCATTGCACAGGGTCACTTTGCTGGTCCCCTCCTGCTTCTGATGACAAGAGACAGCAATTTTGGAAACAAGACACCCTTGTCCTCCAGAATTAGGTGTCCTTCCCATCCTTCCCCCTCTCTTTACACCTTGTCATCTCCACTGTGTGCCCTCCCTGGGGTGCCACCCTCCTGTTCCCAATCTGCCTCCCCACATCCCCCTATCCCCTTGCTGTCCCCAACTTGGTGCCCCCACCCCAGCCCTCTTGGGCAGCTGCTGATGCTTCTGCACTGTGCTGTGTTGGTGTTTTGGGGGTGGGGGGGTGATGGGGTGGGCAGTGTGTGGGGTTTGGGGGTCTGCTGCCTTTCCCTGCTGGGATTTGCAGGCTGCAACCAGTGCTGTGGCTTGGGGACACAGTGCCCCCCACCACAGACTGCTCAGTGCTGGATGAGGGGGTGTTTCCCCAGTTCCCACTGGTTCTGGCAGGGAAGGGGCTCTCCTGGGAAGTGTTTGCACTAATGGCTTTTTATTCCCCCCTTGCTGGCCCGGGCTGCCCACAGGCCATGGTAAGTGCCCCCCACCCTATCTCCCCAGGGGTCTCAGACATGTGAGAGGCTCTGCCCCACTGGAGCTGAACTGGGAATGTCATGGGCTGCTGCACTGGTTCCAGTCCCACTGCACAGCAGTGCTGGCAGCAATGGGGGCTGGGCTGTCCCCACTGCCCTCATGCAGCCAGGATCCTTCCCTGTCTGGAATCGGGGTCTGTCCTGGGTGTTTCACAGCCACTGGGGTGTAGGAGGGAGCTCTCATGGTCTGCTGGATCTGTGAACTCGCTTTCTTTCCCACAGTCCCTGGTCCAGTCCAGGAAAGCGGGAATCACATCCGCGCTGGCCTCGAGCACCTTGAACAATGAGGAGCTGGTAGGTGCTGGGGTGGGCTGGGTGCAGGATGGGTGGGAGGGGGAAACAGCCTGGGGGCCAGGCCAGCAGTGGAGGTGCAGAGTCAGTGCCCCACCAGCATCCTCTGGTGATGCCTGAGCATTCAGGATGCTCATGGCAGCACCTGGGGATAGAATCATGGGACCATTAGGGTTGGAAAGGACCTATAAGATCATCAAGTCCAACTGTCAACCACCACCATTAAATCAATGTCCCCAAGTGCATCGTCTGCCCTGCTTCAGCGTTTCTCCCCCTCTCTCCCCTCTCCCTGCACAGAAAAACCATGTTTACAAGAAGACCCTGCAAGCCTTAGTGTACCCCATCTCCTGCACAACGCCCCACAACTTCGAGGTGTGGACGGCCACCACCCCCACGTACTGCTACGAGTGCGAGGGGCTGCTGTGGGGCATTGCCCGCCAGGGCATGCGCTGTGCCGAGTGCGGCGTCAAGTGCCACGAGAAGTGCCAGGACCTGCTCAACGCTGACTGCCTGCAGAGTAAGGACCTGGGGCCCACAGCCTTGTCCCTTCTCACCTTGCAGAGGGAGGAGGGAGCAGCCCAGAGAGCTCCACTCCTGACCTGGGCATGGGAGAAGTGGTGTGCAGAGCAGACTCATCCTGGGCAGGGGATAGATCTCTGCAGGTTTGGATTAATTCATGCATGGAATCACTGTATCGTGGAATTGTTAAGGCTGGAAAAGACCTTTAAGATATCAGGTCCAACCATCAACTCAGCACCTTTGTGGTCACGGCTAAAGAGTAAACTCAAATGCCACAGCCACGTGTTTTTTGCACACTTCCAGGGATCACTCCACCACTGCCTGGGCAGCCTGTCCCAGGGCTGGACGACACTTCTGGGGAAGAAGTTTCCCCTGATACCCAACATAAACCTTCCCTGGTGCAACTTGAGGCCATTTCCTCCTGTCCCTGTCCCCAAGTCCACCATGCCAACCTGTGAGAGCTCATGTCTCTCTCCTGGGTACCACCAGCCCCCCAGCCCATCTCACCCATGCCTGTCCTCTCCCAGGAGCGGCGGAGAAGAGCTCCAAGCATGGAGCAGAGGACCGGACCCAGAACATCATCATGGTGCTCAAGGACCGCATGAAGATCCGGGAGCGCAACAAACCAGAGATATTTGAGCTGATCCAGGAGGTGTTTGGGGTCAACAAGACCACACACACGCAGCAGATGAAGGCAGTCAAACAGAGTGTCCTGGATGGCACCTCCAAATGGTCAGCCAAGATCAGCATCACTGGTAGGCAGCTTGTCACCTTCAGCCTTGGGGACCATGGGAATGTCCCCATTGCCCAACCCCTCATTCTGCCAGGCAGCTTCAGCCCCTGGGGGGACACAGGTGCCCGTTTCGGGGATCTTAGTGTGGCTGCGGCACTGACTTTTCTCTGTCTGTTCTCTCTGCCATGCTGTGCTGTGCTGCAGTGGTCTGTGCCCAGGGCCTGCAAGCAAAGGATAAGACAGGTTCCAGTGACCCTTATGTCACTGTCCAGGTTGGAAAGACGAAAAAAAGGACTAAGACTATCTACGGCAATCTCAACCCAATCTGGGAAGAGAATTTCCATTTGTAAGTTCACCCCCTGTCTCCCCATTCCCCTCCCTGGCCCTCATGGTTGTGCCAGGCTGTGCTGGCTCTTGCCATGTCCCAGTAGGGTGGGGGGAGGCAGCTTGGGTTCTGTTTTCTGCCATGAGGGTGTGGCTCTAGGGGCTGATCCAGGCTGTTCTGGGACTGCCTGGGTGTGGCACAGAGCCCACTGGGAGGGGATTGGTGCCCCCTCATCTGCTCTCTTCCCCAGTTCCTGCTTTGTGCTAGTCCCTTTTGTTTACGGCAGCAGTGATGGGGAGTAGCTGGAAAGGTTTCACTGCTCATGCTGGGGCTTGCCCTTTGTCACCTCCCCAGCGAGTGCCATAACTCCTCTGACCGCATCAAGGTCCGTGTGTGGGACGAGGATGATGACATCAAGTCCCGCGTCAAGCAGCGCTTCAAGAGAGAATCCGACGACTTCCTGGGCCAGACCATCATCGAGGTCCGGACCCTGAGCGGGGAGATGGATGTCTGGTACAACCTCGGTGAGCAGCACAGCCTGGGACCCCTGCCCTGGGCTCAGGGGGTGCCACATCCTGCTCAGCCTGGGACCCCCGGCCCTGGAGTCCAAGGGGAAGTGCTGCCAGCCATAGGCTGAAGGCTATTGCAGCAGGGTCTGCTCTTAGAAACATTTAATATCAAAAGCTTTCAGAATAAAGTGTTTTCCCAGGGTCATTTTGAGAATCCCCTACCCATGAGGTTCTAGAACACCAGCCTCCTGCAGAAGGGAAACTGAGGCACAGAAAGGCCATGTCTCTAGCAGCTGGAAATGTGGCCAAATCCCACCCCAGCCTGGCTGCACACCAGCCAGGTGCTGGGTGTCCCCTCAACCCTGGCCCTGCGCCAGAGCATTGTGCCAGAGCACTGTGCCCCTCTTTGGGGCTGGCAGTGAGCAGGGTTGCCCCAGGAATGCCTCACACCTTGTTCCTCTCCCTGCACCCACAGACAAGCGCACAGACAAGTCTGCAGTGTCAGGAGCCATCCGGCTGCACATCAGCGTGGAGATCAAGGGTGAGGAGAAGGTGGCTCCCTACCACGTTCAGTACACCTGCCTGCATGAGGTGAGCAGCCCAGAAAGGCACAGGGGGCACGGCCCCCTCCCCAGCAGTGACACCCTGCCACCACCTGCCCTGGGGAGCTGACGGGACTCATTTCTACCTCCAGAACCTGTTCCACTTTGTGACGGATTTGCAAAACAACGGGGTGGTGAAGATCCCCGATGCCAAGGGGGATGATGCGTGGAAGGTGTACTTTGATGAGACAGCACAGGAGATTGTGGATGAGTTTGCCATGCGCTATGGAGTGGAGTCCATCTACCAGGCCATGACGTGAGTCCCCTGTCCCCATTTGGCTCAGAGGGGCTGCACCCACCCCCCAGGTGGAGGGTTACTGTCCCCATCTTCCTCTTCTGCTGCCATTGGCACTCATCTCCCTGCCATGGGTGCAGACTGGCCCCAAACCTGTGCACCCATCCTTCCCTTTCCCAACATACTCTGGCACAGCCTCATCTCAAGTCCGGTGTCAAGTTTGGACACCACAAAATTAAAAGGATCTAAAACTGTTGGAGAGTGTCCAAAGGAGGGATATGGAGCTGGGGAAGGCTCTGAGGAGTGGCTGAGGGCACTTGGCTCGTTCAGCTGGAGCACAGGAGACTGAGGGGAAGCTCCTCGGGGGCTGCAGCTCCTCCCCAGGGGAGGCAGAGGGGCAGGGGCTGAGCTCTGCTCTGGGACAGGGACAGGAGGCCAGGAAGGGCTGGAGCTGTGCCAGGGCTTGGCATGGAGCTCAGGGAAAGGTTCTTGCCCCCGAGGGTGCTGGCACTGCCCAGGCTGCCCAGGGAATGGTCCCGGCCCCAAGGCTGCCAGAGCTCCAGGAGCTGCCAGGGATGCTCAGGGTGGGCTTGTTGGGGTGGCTGGGCAGGGACAGGGGCTGGGCTGATGATCCCTGTAGGTCCCTTCCAATTTGGGATGCTCTGGGATTCAATGACTTTTGCACCCCAAACCCTGCATCCCCTCCCGTGACTCTAAACCCTCAGCTGCCACTTCTATCCGTAGGCATTTTGCCTGCCTCTCCTCCAAGTACATGTGCCCCGGGGTGCCGGCAGTGATGAGCACCCTGCTGGCCAACATCAACGCCTACTACGCCCACACCACCGCCTCCAGCAATGCCAACGCCTCCGACCGCTTCGCCGCCTCCAATTTCGGGGTAAGTCCCATGGTACGTAAACGCTCTTTTCTTTTTCTCTCCTTTCTTTGGGAGGGGGTGGGGGGCTCAGGAAGCAAAACGAGCTGTGCAAAACACCCCAACCCCAAACTGCAGCCAGGCAGCAGTGGGGTCACCCCCTGCTTGCCCCAAAAGTCATCCTGCTCCTGTATTTCAGGAAGGAAAAGAGCCACCACCTTCCCAGGAGAAGGGCTAAATTTGCTCCCCTATTTATTGTGGGAGCCTGAGCAAACTGGGTGGCAGTGTGCCAGGACAGTGTGCCAGCCACCTTGGTGGCAAAATCAGAAGCATGTGGCCATTACTCACCCCTGCACTTCCTGGGGGGTCTTGCACAGCCTCGTGTGCTTTGGGGGACCCCAGCCTGCTGCAAACTCAGCCGGTTGTGCCAGCACCACTGACTGCCAAGTGGGGCGAGTTTGTGGCAGGGCTGGGTGCCCCTTGGGGATGTGGGCAAGGAGGGGCTGAGCCCTCACCTTGGCTCCCCGACCCGTGCCATCCCAGAAGCAGGAAATGGTTGCTCTGGGTGTGCATGGGTCGAGCCAGGGTCAGTGCCCAGCCCCGGGTGCAGCAAGGTGCTGGGTAGCCAGGGACACAGCCAGGGCCGAGCACAGCTCCGGGCAGCTTTGGCTCACCTCCACGTTCCTGTTGCAGGGGGTAGCTAGAGCCGAGCGAGCTGTGCCTCCGGATCACGCAGGAGGAGAAAACCAAAAACCCGCCTTTTCTCTAACATGGAGGATTTTAAAAACTTGTCTCTTTCTCTTTTTTAGAGAGCCTAAGGTTGGGTGCTAAAGTGCCCGGCCGTGTCGCTTTAACCCTGAGTACCCGTCGTGTCCAGTGTTAGAGTGCTGCAGCCGCTCCTTGGGTGTTGGGGACGCACGGCCCGGCCCAGGGCCCGGCTGGGCCATCCCTGCCAGCGCCGAAGGTTTGCGGTGGCCAGCACAGGCTGTGGCCACGGCCGAGCCATGGACTCGCTGCCCCTCCCACCCCTGTGCTCTTATCCCAGGACTCGGACGCTGCTCCGGACTCTCCAGAGCCCTGCGGGTCAGCCCTGACCCGTACAGCCAGTGCTGAGGGGGGAACCAGGCCTCTCATGGCAGGCCCACATGGCTGTCCAAAGCCTCTCCATCAGCAGGAACACAGGGAAATGCTCCCCAGCAACATTTTGGGGTCAATATTGGGAAGAAATTCTTCCCTGTGAGGGAGTGAGGACTTAGGTTGACCTGAGAACAGCTGTGGCTGTCTCATCCCTGGAAGTGTTCAAGACTAGATTGGACAGGGCTTGGAGCAACCTGGGATAGTGGAAGGTGTCCTTGCCCATGGCAGGGAGTGGAATAACGTGGTCCTTAAGGTACCTTCCAACCCAAACCAGTCTGGAATTCTATGATGAGTTGCTTTTCCATCAGCTCTGATGCCTGATCCAATCCACAACCCAAGATAGGATTTGCATCCTTCTGCCCTGTGCTCCCTGGGTGGGAGCTGGGCTGAGCTGAACTACAGCCCCTCAGCCCCACTGGAGACCCCCCACATGGGGTGTTCTCTGCCCATGTCCCTTGATGCAGTCCAGTGGGGTGAGTGAGGAGTCATGGAAATGTCCAACTCCTGGGGCCAACCTCAAGATGAGCAACCACTGCACATCCTTTCCCTGCCCTTTTTCTTGAGCTCTTGGAAAGCCCCAGTGGTGGGGCTACTAATCCTGCAGCCCCTCTCCCAACTCTTGTCCTGAGCCCAGGCTCAGAGGTGTTCCAGTGGGCAGGGCAGACAGAGCAGCTTGTCACCCTCCCAGCTGACACACAAGGGACACGTGGTGTCACCTCTCCATCCTGAACAGCAGCTGGCATGGCCACATGTGCCCCAGGAGCTGCTGAGGGCTTCGAGTGAGCCCCAGCCACCAACAAGGAGATGCGCTTCTCTGCAGGCATGTCCTGCCCATTCAGGGCTCAGAAAAAAAGGCAGGCAGGCATGCAGGAAGGAAGGAAGGAAGGAAGGAAGGAAGGAAGGAAGGAAGGAAGGAAGGAAGGAAAGGGATGGGCTGAGAGCAAAGTGAGACAGGGGCGGGGGGGTCGGTCCTGCCGCCTTTGCCCTGTTCACCTGCCCCCGGGGCGTTTCTCCACAGAAAGATCGCTTTGTCAAGCTCCTGGACCAGCTGCACAACTCCCTGCGCATCGACCTCTCCATGTACCGGGTAAGGTGCCTGCCCTGCCTCAGTGTCCCCACCTGAAGCAGCACGTGGCTGCTCCCTCACTCTCACTTGCCCTTGTGAATTTTGCGGGCTACTCCCCTCTTTCCTTTCCAGAACAACTTCCCTGCTAGCAGCCCCGAACGGCTGCAGGACCTGAAGTCCACAGTGGATTTGCTGACCAGCATCACCTTCTTTCGGATGAAGGTACTGCTGGGGCCCCACTCACCCTGTCCCTCAGGGATCAGATCAGGGGATCTGACTCCCTTTGGCCTTGGTTCTCTGTGGGTTGGGGTTGTGCTGGCCTGTGGTGCTCCTGGGTGGGTGTCTGGGGGTGCTCCAAACACCATGCCCTCCCTGCACACTAGGTCCAGGAGCTGCAGAGCCCCCCACGAGCCAGCCAGGTGGTGAAGGACTGTGTGAAGGCCTGTCTCAACTCCACCTACGAGTACATCTTCAACAACTGCCATGAGCTCTACAGCCGCGAGTACCAGACAGACCCGGTGTGTGGCAGGGGGGGTGCTGGGCACTGACCTCCCCATCCCATTCTCTCCTCCTTTTCCTCATGCTCTTGCTCCCTCTCCAGAGTGCTTAGTCCTGTGCAGAATGATCCCCAGGCCTTGGAGTTTGAGCTGTGGGGTTGAGATCAGGACAGACAAGAGGGGATTGCATGGGACCCCCAGGGTATTCCCTCCTGCTCCCTTGTTAGCCCTGACACAAAGTTGAGCCCTGCACTGGCGTGACCAAATTTTCCACTGTGTCCCTGCCCCTCCAGACAAAGAAAGGTGAGGTGCCCCCGGAGGAGCAGGGCCCCAGCATCAAAAACCTGGATTTCTGGTCGAAGCTCATCACCCTGATTGTCTCCATTATTGAGGAAGACAAGAACTCCTACACGCCCTGCCTGAACCAGTGAGTAGGTGGAGTAGGGAAGGGGACACTGCTGTGCCCACAGAGGGTGCCCACGTGGAGGCAGTAGGATCTTGAGGCCTTTGGAAGTGGTTTTAACATCCATTCTACAGATGGGAAAGCTGAGGTTGCTGGGAGGTGTGTGAGGGATGTCTGTCCACATGGAGGGATTCACCCTGTGTTCATAGCCTTGAGCTGTGCCAGGGGAGGTTCAGGTTGAACATCAGGAAGAATTCATGGAAGGGGTGGCCAGGCATTGGATGGGGCTGCCCAGGGAAGTTTGGAGTCCCTACCCCTGGAAGTGTCCAAAGAAGGCCTGGATCTGGCACTCAGTGCTTTGGGCTGGGTGGCAAGGGGGCGATCATTCACAGGCTGGACTCAATGACCTTGGAGGTCTTTTTCACCCTAAATGATTCTGCAATTCACACTCTCCCCTCACCCCAGGTTCCCCCAGGAACTGAACGTGGGGAAGATCAGTGCTGAGGTGATGTGGAATCTCTTTGCTCAGGACATGAAGTACGCGATGGAGGGTGAGTCCCACCTGCCACCCTGAGCCAGAGAGGGGTGAACCAGGCAGGAGCTGTCCTCAGCTCACACCTTCCCTGTTCCATGGGCAAACCCATTTCATCTCCTCATCAACACTCCCTCCAGAAGCACTTCCATCTTTTTTCCCTGGAGCTGCCCCTGGGGAGCCACGCCCCAGATTTGGGACTCAGAGTGAGCCCCAGGCCCTTTGCTCATGCAGAGCACGAGAAGCACCGCCTGTGCAAGAGCGCAGACTACATGAACCTGCACTTCAAGGTGAAGTGGCTGTACAACGAGTACGTCACCGAGCTGCCCTCCTTCAAGAGCCGCGTGCCTGAGTACCCCGCGTGAGTGCAGCCCTGGGGCCGGGCAGGGGACTGCCACCACGAGGGCTGCTGGCCTCACCACGGTGGGTCTCTCTTCCAGCTGGTTCGAGCCCTTTGTCATCCAGTGGCTGGATGAGAATGAAGAGGTGTCACGGGATTTCCTGCACGGAGCACTGGAGCGGGACAAGAAGGATGGGGTATGAACAGGACTAGGGATGCAGTCTCGGAGGAGAGGGGCTTGTCCCTTGATGCCCTGACTGTGATGTCCAAATATGTCCTGATGGGCCAAAATCTCCCCCACATATCCTGCTGACACCTCATCTCACTCCTACAGTTCCAGCAGACCTCAGAGCACGCGCTCTTCTCCTGCTCCGTGGTGGATGTCTTCTCCCAGCTCAACCAGAGCTTTGAGATCATCAAGAAGCTGGAGTGCCCCGACCCCCAGATCGTGGGGCACTACATGCGACGGTTTGCCAAGGTGGGCACCTGCCAGGGCAGGGGTCAGCACCACCCCTGGGACCACAGTGCCAGCCCTGGCTGGGCTCCTGGGCTCCCTGTGCCCCTCCATCCAGCTGTGGGCAGCCAGTGTGCTACTGACACACCCTGGGACACTCCCAGCTCTGCTAGCACAGGATATTAATTAATTAATTATGAGATAATTGATGAGTTATTTGCTTAATTAATATAGATTAATTCAAACTGGCTTGCTGCAATATAGGAGGAAGTTAAATGCTGGCTTGGTGGCTGTTGCCTTCACAGCTGTGCTGGAGCAGCCCATGGAGACCAGTTGTGCTGGATCTGGCTTCCAGTGGCTGAGCCCATGTGGCTCCTGGTGCATGAACTTGAGCCAGCTGTGCCCAAGTGGGCAAGGAGGCCAATGGCACCTAGTCTGTACTAGCAATGGTGTGGCCAGTAGGACCAGGGCAGTGACTGCCCCCCTGTGCTGGGCACTGCTGAGGTCTCACCTGAAATCCTGGGGTCAGTTTGGGGTCCCTCATTACAAGAAGGACATTGAAGGGCAAGAGCGTGTCCAGAGAAGGGAACAGAGCTGGGGAAGGGTCTGGAGCACCAGGAGCAGCTGAAGGACCTGGGGAGGCCAGCCTGGAGAAAAAGAGGTTCAGGGGGGCCCGAAAAAGAGGTTCAGGGGGGCCCTTCTGGCTCTGCAGAACTCCCTGACAGGACGGGGCAGCTGGGGGAGGAAGCTGAGCTCTGCTCCCAGGGAACAGGGACAGGATGAGAGGAAATGGCCTTAAGTTGTGCCAGGGGAGATTTGGGTTGGATGTTGGTAAAATTTATTCACTGAAAGGTTTGTCCAGCCCTGGCACAGGCTGCCCAAGGCAGCGGTGAAGTCACCATCCCTGGAAGTGGTTAAAAAACATATGGATCTGGCACTTGAGGATATGGTTTAGTGGTGAACATGGTGGTGGTGCTGAGGTGATGGTTGGACTTGAATTTATAGGGCTTTTCCAACCTTAATGATTCCATGATTCTGTGATCCATGAGGTCAGAGGGTCTGGGGCTCCCCGTATGTATCCAGATATGAGGTTGTTTCACTGCTGTTGGACTCATGGTTTCCTTCTCTCCCTCCTTACCCTTTCTTGCTGCTGTCTGGGTGTCTTCCTTGGTGCCCTGTTTGGCTGCAGACCATCAGCAATGTGCTGCTCCAGTACGCTGAGATCATCTCCAAGGATTTTGCCTCCTACTGCTCCAAGGAGAAGGAGAAAGTGGTGATGTATCTCCCTTTTGCTGTCTCCATATGTCACCTCAGCCCCAGGGTGGGTCAGTCCCTTCCTGATGGCAGTTCCTGACACACTGCCAGGGTGGCTTCCCTGCCATCCCTGTCCTCATGTCCCCTAGTGCAAGGTGGGAGGGTCCTGGGACTGTGAGCAGCTACCCCAGGCATATTTATTGGTGCTGACCCCCCTCTCCATCCCACCCCTCCAGCCCTGCATCCTGATGAACAACATCCAGCAGCTCCGTGTCCAGCTTGAGAAGATGTTTGAAGCCATGGGTGGGAAGGATGTGAGTATGGGGGGGTTCCAGGAGGGAGTCCTGTGAGGGGTTGGATCATTCCCTTCCCCCCTGAGGTAGCCCCATGCCCAGTTCCCCAGTGCTGGGAGCAGACCCCTTCCTCACTCCTGTGTGGGGTCACACTGTGCTGCCCCATGGCACTCTGCTCTCCCACTGTATTGGACTGGGAAGGGCTTCACCCTGCCCAGGGATGCATTTGGGATGCAGAAACTTCCCTGAGGGCTGGTTTAGGAACCCTGTCAGCTTCAAAAACCTCTTCCTCCTGCAGCTGGATACAGAAGCCAGTGATATCCTCAAGGAACTGCAGGTGAAACTTAACAACGTCCTGGATGATCTGAGCCGAGTCTTTGCCACCAGGTACAGCTGGGTGAGAGGGCAGGGGCAGTGGGCAAAGGAGAGCTCTGGGGGTTCAGGGGCTCTGGGGGGATATGCTGAGCTGCCTGCGTGTTGTGGTCCTCAGTTTCCAGCCACACATCGAGGAGTGTGTGAAGCAGATGGGTGACATCCTGAGCCAGGTGAAGGGCACCGGCAACGTCCCCGCCAGCACCTGCAGCAGCGTCGCGCAGGACGCTGACAACGTCCTGCAGCCCATCATGGACCTACTGGACAGCAAGTGAGTGTGGGGGCAGCTGGAACCCCCATCCTGCCTCTCCTGGCCTCGTCAGACAGTGCGGGGGACCTGCAGAGTCAGGGTGACACGGGAGGGGTGACACGTGGGATCTCCTTTCGCAGCCTGACGCTCTTTGCCAAGATCTGCGAGAAGACGGTGCTGAAGCGGGTGCTGAAGGAGCTCTGGAAGCTGGTGATGAACACCATGGAGAAGACCATTGTCCTACCCCCACTCACAGACCAGACGGTGAGTGATGGGCAGGGGGACCAGGGACCCTGAGACACAGGTGGCTGACTGGGGCCAGTGTGGGACATGGCTGGCCAGGTGCCCTCAGTGACATGTGAGAGGGTGGGGACTTCACTGACATCTCCAAACCCGTGTCCAGCTCCTGACCAGGGAAAGGATGGAAGAGATAGGTCATCCTTCCTCCAGAACCTTCTTGGTTGGCTTTGGCAAAGGACCTTCCTGCCACCTCCATTGTGGCACAAAGAGGGAACACTGGCCCTTTCTTATCTGTCCTTCCCTCAGAGCTGAGACAACATCCCATGCCACACTGATCCACACTGGCTGTGGGCATGCTCCCTGTGGCAGGAGGTGAATCCAGGGGCTCCTGGAGTGTGGGGAGATGCTGCCTGTTTGCCTTGCTAAGGGGCTGGGGTTTTCATGAGGATGGGGGAACATGTTCCCCAGGAGGGCTGAGCTGTTCCTTGCTCCTGGGGGATTTAGGAAAGCAGAGCAAACCCAGGGAATGGTCCCTCTGAGGCTCCATATCACATCGCTATTTGTCTGTCCCCCCTGCACCTGAAGCTTCCTGAGGTGGTTCCTTCAAAGGCACGCAGGAAAGGGTGACACTGAGTGCTCTCAAGCAGCTACACACATATCACTCTTTTGTGGCTTTTGTCACCATTACAAAGCTGGGCTCAGGCTCTTCCTTGGAGTTCCTGGAGCTGTCAGCCTTCATGTCACCTTTCTGGGACTGTGGAGCTCCTGTGCTGTGTCTGTGAGGGACAGCACAGTGGTGACATGTCAGTCCTCAGTGGTGCCACCTCACTGTCAGTGTGTCACAGCCCTGAGTCTGGCTCAGGTCAGCCCCACATTGCTTCTGACTGGGCTTGGCCAAGGGTGGCCAAATCTCATAGGGATGCTGGTGCCACTGAGTCCCAGTCCCCATCCCAGTCCCCTTCCCAGTCTCTTTCCAGCCGGGCTGTGGAGACAGTGGGGTCTGTGCTAGGGCACAGGACGGGGCATGGACATGTGGCTCTGTTGGGTGATTTTCCTGAGGGCAGAGAGTCCCTGGAGAAAGCTGTGCTGGGACTGGTCCCTCGGGCAGGGGACGTCCTGCCCAGGTGTCCCTGGGTGCCAGCCCACAGGGTGGCCGGACAGGCTGGTGGTTTGGGGGTGCGTGTCAGAGCCAAGAGTTGGCTGGGGTCCCTGGAACTGAGCCCCCCTGGGGCAAAACCCTCCCCCCCCCCACAGTCAGGAGGGACTGGGCAGGTGAGGATGGGGCTCCTCGGGAGCTGTGGAGGCCTGCGGCGCAGTGGCAGGGCAGTGACACTGAGTGCTGTGGCTGGGGGACAGCCATGGCTCTGCTGGGGGTGGGGGGCAGCCAGGGCTGGCGCTGGGGAGGATGGAGGAGGCGGGGGCCGACACTCACGTCACGGTTGTTCTCTCCAATTGCTCCTCTCGCCTCACAATGGCAGATGATTGTAAGTACGGCAGCTCCCTGTCTGTCTGTCTGTCTGTCCGCTCTGTGTCGGTCCTGGCCTCGCCGGTTCTTGTCTTGTGTGGCTGCCCGTGCCCTGCCCACACCCTCCTTCGGCTCCTGACCTGGTCCAGCTCCTGGTCCCCGCCCCTGCCTGGCACTGGCTCCTGGCCGGCACATGCCAGTCCCTCCGGGATGTGGTGGGTGGAGAGGTCTTGGACAGATTGGCAGTGCCGGGATATGGGGAGGGACAAGGGGGAGTGATGGGGTGGTAGGGGACGGTGATGGCAGTGCCATGTCATCAGGGACTGCCAAACCTGGGCTCCGTTCTGAGGGGAGGAATACCGCGGGAGGCACGAGCAGGGAGCAGTGCCTGCCTGCAATCAGGGCTGCTCGTCCTTTCTTCGTGCCTCAGTTTCCCCTCGAGGCCCTGGCTGGGGTCTGGCTGTGATGGGGGCAGAGGTTTTCCCTGCCAGGAGGAGGAGTCTCTCGGGGACGCGGCGGTCCCTGGCCCAGGTGCTCGGTGTTGGGGCAGGCTGCTGGCACAAGTTGTGAGGCTCTTCCCGGGTCGGGATATGGCCCTGGGAACCTGGACTGCTGGTTTCCTTCTCGGCATTGCTGCTGGGTCCTTGCATGGCTTTGACTGAGCAGTTTCCTTCTGTCCTCTTCTGACCAGTCTGTGGCTGTGGGTTTATGCCCCTGGGGGCAAGGGAAGAGCAATTCCGCCCCCCCCATTCCTGTCCCCACCCCTTGTTGTGACCCAGGCACCTATGCAGGAAGAGCAGTGGGAGCCAGCTGCTGGGTGCTGGTGCCAGCCCCTGCAGGGACAAACACCCCTCTGCTGTCCCCCAACACTTTTTCTGTCCAACAGTAGCATTTGGGGAAGCCTTGGGCGCAGCCCGGGGCTGAGTGTCCTCTCAGATCTCATGAGGACCTCATGGGGACCTCGTGGGAGCCCCATGTCCCAGCTTTGCTGAGGCTCTGGGGGACAGAGCAGTGTCAGCTCTGTGTGGTACAAGCTCCTCTTGTTCACCCATCACGCTGTGCCAGGGCCAGAACCCCTCCTGGCAGCCCTATTTGGCCATACCTGTGCTGCTTGTTCCTTCTGAGGCTTCCCAGCCAGCTGACTCCGTGCTCCCCTCTCCTGACTCCAACAGTCCGTGCTCAGAGCCGAGTTCATCCCCGCCATGGCACTGTGGCTCATTTCACACAGTTCCTCTTGCCTGGGCCAGTGTGGGGCTGGCACTGGGCCCAGCCGTGCACAAACCAGAGCTCTGCGTGCCAAAGCCAAATCCCAGCTACTCCCTCCCTGCTCCCTCCCCAGTGCTGGGAGCACCTGCCAGAGCTGAAGCAGGATGTGTGGGGGCACCAGAGCCTGCCCACACACAGCTGGATCCTGTATTCCAGCAAGGATCATCCCTCATGGATTCAGCATCCCAGCAGTTTCCCAGTGTGAGGACAAGTTCTCCAGCAGTGCAACATCCTGCTTTCCAGTGGGGATCCAGCACCCTGATGATACCAGGCCCTCACTGAGTATCCCGGTGGGGACCAGTCCCCCACTGGCTGTCCTTCAGGAGCTCGTGATGTCTCTGCCACCTGTGCCCCTGTGTCCTGTCCCATGCTGTCCCCCCACCCCACACTCAACCTCTGACATTGCTTCTACAGGGCACGCTCTTGAGAAAACATGGCAAGGGGACAGAGAAGGTAAATAGCTGTGGGCTCCATGTGTGTCACTGCCCCGGGGCCACACTTGTGGTCTCACACCCGCCTGCTGTGGAGGTCCAGGCTTGTCCGTGCTTCCTCTGTCGTGCTGTCTGGATGTGCTGTTGCCTGCGTGGTGTTGTGGTGAGGTGTGCTGTGCTGTGTGCTGGGGACAGCCCCAGTTCTGTGTGTCCCCGGGGTAGGGAGAGGGGTCTCTGTGGTGATCAGTCCCCTTGGGGCAGATGTGGGGTGTCACCTATCCCCGTGGGGAACACTGCCCCACAGCCCTCAGCACCAGCTGCCTGCTGGGACAGTAGGGGGGTGAGACCCTCTGCATGGGAGACCCTCCATACAACCCCATCCCACTGTGGGGGGGCTCAGGAAGAGGGGACCCCCTGTCCTGGGCCTTGCTGGGCACAGTGAGGGCCCCGGGGCTGCTGGGATCCCGTGGATCTCTGAGCCTGCTCCCCCTTCCTTGCTGAGCCCCAGTCCTGCTCCAAGGGCTTTCTCCAGCACATGCTCTTGCCCTGTCTGGGTGCTCCTGCCACAGGGTGGAGGCCCAGCAGTGACCCCAGCCTGCTCCCCAAATCCTGGTTCTTGGGAAGAGCCATGCCAGCATCCATCTGGGCAATGCCTGCAGCTCCCCCTCCTCTCCTGGGGGACACTGGCTCCTGCCCAGTTTGCTGAGTGTGCTGGGTGAGCTGATTCCCTCTGGTCTCCCAGCCCCAGATGGGGTGGGGAGCAAACCTGCCCGTCCTCAGGAGAGACCTGGCACACTCATCTCGGCTTCACCAGCGTGGCCATGGGGCTGAGTCTTTGCAGCTGTGAACTGGTGCCCAACCAGCAGCACCAGCAGAGAGCTGGGCAGAGCCAGAGGAGAGTACAGGCCAGAGCCCTCATGGCCAGGGGATGTGGGGGGCCTGGAGCCGCGGCTGAATGCTGCTGGGGCCACCAGTAACTGTCCCTTGCTGTTCTCTTCCAGAGCAGGGTGAAGCTGCCCAGTCACACTGAAGTAAGGACATGGCTCTTCTGCTCCCCACTTGGCACTGCTCTCTCCCCTTCCCTCCCCGCTGTCCCTTGTCCCTTGTGCTCTGGGTTGGGGACTCCCAGCTCAGTACAGTGTCCTGCTGTGCTCTGTTTTGGGGACACCAGTGTCCCCAGCTCCCAGCCTGTCCACTGACTGGGGGAGATGGGAACAGTGAGAGTGGAATTAATGGGACAGAACTGGGTGGGCAGAGGGGTGGGCACAAAGGGTTAATGGGGCCATACCAAATGTGGGCACGGGGTGGACAGACCCCTGTAGAAGGTACTGGTTAATGGGAGAGATGCTGAGGTTCCTGTGTTGGGAGGGACTGGAACTGCTGGTGCTGGGAGAGGGAAGGTAGTGGAGTCTCTGGGCCCCAGTTTATCCAGTTGCACTTGCACACTGGAGGAGCTGAGGAGGAGAGCTTGTGCTCAGCCCAGTCAGAGGTGCCAGCCCAGGGCAGTGAGCAGGATCTGCCCATCCAGGGGGCTGCTATGCCCATGGGCCCTACAGAATGGCCCCATGGCCCCTGCCATGGTGGGGTCAGGCCGAGGCAGCCCGGGTCTCCCACGTGGGGGAAGGGGCTGGGAACCTCCCTGGGACTGCTGGGGCTGGGCAGGGCTCCGTGTGGCTGGGGGCTGTTTGGTGGCTGTGGGGTACAGGCCATCCTCCCGTGCCCGCTGTCCCTCGCTCTCGCTCTCTGCTCCCGCCGTGTCCGATGTCCGAGTGGTCTGTGCCCTGCTGTGCCAGGCCCTGCTGGATGCAGGAGCAGGTGCTTGGAGCACAGGAAGGAGGATGGGACTCTTGGGCCGAGCTGCTTGTGCTGAGCAGAGCCAAGGATGACGCCAGGGTGGCGTCCTGCCCTGGGGTCCCCAAGCCTGCAGCCTCACAGCTGTGCTGAGAACTTGGGGCTGCCAGCCTTGTACCTGTGTCACCTTCCTGGCTGCTGTCCCCTGGAGCCTGGAGGAGCCCCTGGAACTGCAGCAAGCTTCTGGCATGATGTGCCCAGCCTGGCCATGCCACCCCCAGCCTGGCTGCTCACCAGGGCTGTCCCTGTTTCTTTGCTCTCTGCAGGGCACACAGATGATTTTCAACGCGGCCAAGGAGCTGGGGCAGCTTTCCAAGCTGAAGGTGAGGGCTGGGGGTCTGGGCTGGGGGTCACCGAGCTGAAGGTGAGGGCTGGGGGGTTGCGTTGCTCTCTGTTCCAGGGTGAGTGCCAGTGCCACTGCTGCCAGGACCCCACCACTGCCCCCTTGCTGGCTGGGCTGGGCTGGGGGCAGCAGGGTCCTGGTGCTGTGCTGAGAGCAGGATCTGTGTCCCCCAGGACCACATGGTGCGTGAGGAAGCCAAGAGCCTGACCCCGAAGCAGTGTGCCGTGGTGGAGCTGGCACTGGACACCATCAAGGTGAGGGCACTTTGGGGCATTTGGGGTGCCCCCAGGGCTCTGACCCTGAGGCCCAGGCACAGGAAGCACTAGGGGGACCCTCTCAGAACTGCTGAGCATCCTGAGGCCTTTCCCCTTCCAGCAATACTTCCATGCTGGCGGCGTGGGGCTGAAGAAAACGTTCCTGGAGAAGAGCCCTGACCTGCAGTCGCTGCGCTACGCCCTGTCCCTCTACACCCAGGCCACAGATCTCCTCATCAAAACCTTCGTGCAGACCCAGTCGTCGCAGGGTAGGACACGCTGCCCTGGGCCCCGCTGTGCCCTCGTCCTCCCCACGCTGCCCCATGGCCAGGACCCACCTTGGCTCTGTCCCAGTGGGCTGGGGGTCCCAGCCAGGCTCATGGTGGGGAAGAGAAGGGTGGGGAAGGAAAGGGCTTTTTCCTCCCATGCCTTGCTGGTGAAGAGGGGCCGTGGTGCCCAGCAGCAGCAGCCTGGCACTCCCCAGTTCCCCACCAACAAGAACAGTGCCAGGGCATTGCTGGACTGGCATGGAAATGGGGCCTGTGGGTGGGGGGAAGGTCACCCTCTGGCCAGGTGTCGCAGTGTTTGTCCCCTCTGGATGGCCCCAGGCACCCAGCACTGACAGGGTCCATGGGATCCGGATGCTGTGCCAGGGCATGTCCTGGGCATGCTGGATGCCCAAGCCCCTGATCTGGGCTCTGGTGTGCTGAGGTGAAGTGCAGGATGCTGGGCACCTTCCAGGGCAGGATCAGCCCTCAGCTCTAAATGCTGCCCTTTATTCTGTCCCTTGGCTGCCGGAGGAGGGCCCTGAGCTGCTCGGTGGTGGTCACGGGCCACCGCAGGGTGCCCCAGCCAGGCTTGTCTGTGTCCTCGGGGAGTGGGACGTGCGTTTGCTGTCCGTGAGTCTCCTTCAAGGGACGTCTGTCCTGTCTGTGCCTCCTGTGCCAGCCATGTCGGGGGCGTGGGGTTGGGTCTGGTGGGTGCCAGCACCCCTGGGTGTACCCTGTCCCCAGGAGCCCACGCTCGGAGCTGGGGGTGCCTGGCACTCCTGTGTCACTGCAGTGTTGTCCGGGTACTTGGCCGTCAGTCTGTCTGCGAGATCTGATTTCTCTTTCTCTTTGTTTCCCCCCCCTCCCTCACTGTTCCCGTTCCCCATGCACGTCATCTCCTTCCTTCTCTCTTTCTCATCTCCTTCTCTCTTCTTCATCTCTTTCCTCCTCCCTTCTTTTGCATCTCCTCCCTCCTCTCTTCGTTGTCATCTCCTTCCTCCTTCATCTCCTTCCTCCTCTCTTTGTGTACTCTGTGCCGTGTCTCTGTCTCTTTCTCTCTCCTTCCCACTAGTTCATGGTGGGAAAGGGATTAGGTTTACCCTTAGTGAAGAGGTTTATCCTGAGAAGGGTACGTGTGCTACTCGCCCGCCCCTGCACCTGCCTGCCGCCGGCCTGGGCTAGTAACAGTCCCAGCACCGCGGGCTGGGGTGGTCTGGGGACCCCCAGCATCGCCGGCCTTGGGGACCCCCAGGATGGGCAAACTGCCACTCCCAGGGCTGCTCTGGGGGGAGTTTGAAGGAACTGTGCTCAGCCATATTGACCACCCCCAGAGCGGGTCGGGGGCTGTCCCTGTGGGAATAGGGGTGTCTTCCCACACGCTCTGGGCACCCCACATTGTCCCCAGCACTGCTGCACACACCGTGACCTCCCCCTGAGACATTGGCTCTAGGGGAGGCCATGCCACATCCTGTGCCCTTCCTGCCCATCCTGCTGCCCTAAGGACCATTACTAGCCCTGCTCCGGCGCGCTCCGTCTGCCTGTCCTGGGGCGCAGGGAATGAGCCCCCCGCGGGCCCTGCTTGGCCTCCATCACACCCTGCTGGGGCGGGGGCTGCACCCCCGCTTGGCCTTCCATGCCCAGACCCCCTCCCCACCCGCCATCGCCTCCATCCCGGCTCAGCATGCGGGGGCGGGGGCCGGGGGTGGAGGGGGATGTGCCATTGCCAGCCCTGGCCTGGCCTGGCACCCTCAGTGACACGTGGGGACATGCCCTCCTTCCACTGCTCTTCCCACCCTGAGAGCTGCCCACTGAGCCCTGTTGGATCTCTGTCACCCCATCAGAGCCACAGAGCCTGTCCCTCTGCCTTGCACCCCGTCCTTCACCCACGGGTGCATGCACAACTCTGGGGTGGTGGGGGGTGGGCTGACCTGTTGGTCCCCAGGCTCGGGGACCCCTGGGCTTGGTGTGATCCCTGGGATGGAGGGGTACGAGGGGGCGGGTCTGCCTCGAGACACTGGTAGGGCTGTGGCTGCCCTGGCTGTGTCCCTCCTACCCAGGGAGGGACCATGACACTGTCACCCCTCTGTGGCCAGAGCATGGGGAGCTGGGCCACTGTCCTCTGCCCCATCCTGGACAGGCCTCTCAGCCCTGCTTTAGCAAGGGGGGGTCCACAGGGGTGGGATGGCAGAGGCAGCGTGCTGCTGGGGGTGTCCTTTCATGTCCATCACAGCTGCTGCACCCACGCTGCTGTGCCTACAACCCTTTGGGACACACCCTAATGCCCACCCCTTTCCACCCCATGGTGGGTGACCTGCCTCCTCAGTGGGGTTAGTATTGGGCAGGGCATGTCAGGAACATTGGCAAAACAGGCACTTCATCTCGTCCCTCTGTCTGTCACAGGGTCTGGTGTGGATGACCCCGTTGGGGAGGTGTCCATCCATGTGGAGCTGCTGACCCATCCCAGCAGTGGTGAGCACAAAGTCACCGTCAAAGGTGGGTCCTGCTGCCCGGGGTGCTGGGGTCACAGCTGCAGGTGACAGTGCTCCGTGAGCCTCACCTGTCCCCTCCTTGCAGTGGTGGCTGCCAATGACCTCAAGTGGCAAACCTCGGGTATCTTCCGGCCCTTCATCGAGGTCAACATCATCGGGCCCCACCTCAGTGACAAGAAGAGGAAATTCGCCACCAAATCCAAGAACAACAGCTGGGCCCCCAAGTACAACGAGAGCTTCCAGTTGTGAGTGGCACCACGGGCTGGGGATGTAGGGACAGGCTGGGGGAAGTGTCCCCAGCACGTGGGGACCTCCAGGGGTCTGCAGGGAGTTTGTTCATCCCCGATGGGGTGTTTTAGGTATTTTCTCATTGGTAAAAGCAGGGAGAGAGGAGCAGGAGTAAAAAGGAAAAGGCTTTCCTAGGGGTGGGGGCGGGGACAGCAGCCACGTAGGGGCTGTTAGTGGCCGGGCTAGCGGTGAAGTGTGACCCCTTTTGCCAACACCGCCCGTCCCTTGCCCCCCCTCAGCACGCTGGGGACGGAGACAGGCCCGGAGTGCTACGAGCTGCAGGTGTGTGTGAAGGATTACTGCTTCGCCCGGGAGGACCGCACCGTGGGCATCGCCGTGCTGCAGCTGCGGGACATCCTGCAGCGCCCCGGCTGCGCCTGCTGGCTGCCCCTGGGCCGCCGCATCCACATGGACGACACCGGGCTCACCGTGCTCCGCATCCTCTCGCAGCGCAACAACGACGAGGTGGCCAAGGAGTTCGTCAAGCTCAAGTCGGACACGCGCTCGGCCGAGGAGGGCAGCAGTTAAAGTCCTTTGGCCCCCCAGCCCTCGCCCCCCGCTCCCGGCCCCTGACAGAATCCTCCAGCCGTGTATAAGCCATAGGAGTGGCCACAGAGGAGTCGCTGCCCCGGCACTGGGGAGGGGGTGCTGTGGCTGCAGTGACAGACCCTCGCCTCCCTCCCCGGCCACGATGGCTGGCTGACAGCGGTGCCGAGCACAGCCAGGCCCCCCTCACACCCCGCAGGAAGGTGCTGGTGTTGGGGGGGTTGCAGGGAGGGGCTGGAGCTGAGCCTGGCTGAGGGGAGCAATCGGCCCTTCCCCAGCCTGTCTGAGATGGAGGAACCCCAGTGGTTCATCTCTGAGCCTCCACTGTCCCACCCAGCCCCACACCTCACCGAGTGACACAAGGAAAGGGCTGCGGGGTGTGTGTGTGTCTGGTGCCATGTGCTGTGTTGGTGAGTGGCTGGCACAGCGTGATGGCCCCTTGTCCCCATCCCTGAGCGTGGTGGTGTGTCCTGAGGGCAGGGCAGCTGCCAGCCCTGAGCACATATGTGTACATATGTAAATACCTGTACATACAGGGCAGCTGGACAGGCTGTGTCCTGTACCCGGAAGGGCTATTGGGGCTGTTGGGTGGGTGGGTGCAGCCCCCCTGCACAGGGTCCCCTCCCTGGTTGGCAGCAGCATCACCAGGGTCGGGAGCAGCAGGGAGCAGCCCCCGGCCCATATCCTGTCTTCCCTGCCTTGCTGCCACCGTGGGCTACCCCACTGCCCCCCACAAGGTGCCAGGGCTGAGGGCGCCTGAATAGAGGGACTTGTTCCTCTTTGCTCTGGCCGGTGGGGACCAGCATCCCTGAGCAATGCAGCCCATGGGATCTCCTTGGCGCAAGAAAACCCTTCCCACCCCAGCCCAGAGAAGCCCTCTCTCCAGTCCCCCAGTAAGCACCAGTTCTGTGCCCCCCAGTTCCCCAGTGAGCACCATTTCTGTGTGCTAAGTGGTGTGCATGTCTCGTGCGAGTGCCTGGGAGGCCTGGGTGTGTGGTGTTGGGGTGGCCACCCCAGCTGGCCAGTTCGCCCCAAGTCTGGGGCAGACAGAGGCCTCATGACCCCACAAATCAATACAGCTCTCTCAGTCCCCTCCCATCCCAAAACAGGGTACCCCAAATGGCCCCCACGCTCCTTTGTCTAGAGGGTTTGCCTGGGACCAGAGGGTTTCACTTTGCTCTCTCGTTTCTGTTCAATGTTTACACCCTTTTCTACCGGCTGCTCCCGCACGGCCCGGCTGCGGCTCGGCCCTGCAGCCCGACCGTGGTGCCCTGGCCCTGTGCCCCTCCCCAGAGCGTCCTGTTTGGCATGTGATTGAACTGACCAATTCTGCTCCTGTAGCACAGTGTCACCGATGCCTGTGTGTCTGTCCCGCCCGCCGTGGCGGCTCCCATGGATGCATGACAGTGAGATGTTTTGCACTATTTTGAATTTTTTGGGCTCTGTAAAAATATTTTATTATAACTGACATTAAAAAGCACACCCTTCACTGTGGCTCCTGTGGGGAGTTGGGAGGGGATGGGCATCTGGGGGCATTCCCACCTCAGTGCAGCACTTCCACCTTTAAAGGGAAAACCAGGGATATCCAGCCTTGAGGATAACCAGCTCCAAGGATAAGCAGCTCCAAGGACCAGTAGCCCAGGGATGATCCCTGTTGCCACTCAGCCTCCCTGAGGTCACCTTTACAAAACCAAGGATAGGTGTTAAATGGAATCTCGGGAACACAGAATCCTGGAATATCCTGAGCTGGAAGAGACCCTCAGCCCAGCCTGTCCCTGCCCAGCCACCCCAACAAGCCCACCCTGAGCATCCCTGGCAGCTCCTGGAGCTCTGGCAGCCTTGGGGCCGGGACCATTCCCTGGGCAGCCTGGGCAGTGCCAGCACCCTCGGGGGCAAGAACCTTTCCCTGAGCTCCATGCCAAGCCCTGGCACAGCTCCAGCCCTTCCTGGCCTCCTGTCCCTGTCCCAGAGCAGAGCTCAGCCCCTGCCCCTCTGCCTCCCCTGGGGAGGAGCTGCACAGCTGGGACAGATGTGTCCTGGGAGGTTGTACAATGCTGATAATTCCCAGGCATAGGAGTGATCAGGGAGAGCCAGCACAGCCTCATGGAGGGCAAGGCCATCCCTCGCTGGTCTCGTGGCCATCCCTGATGGGGTGACTCCATCAGCAGATGAAGGGTGAGCTGTGGATGGCACCTGCCCGGACTTCTGTGAGGATTTTGACACAGTCAATCAAAACACTTTCCCCAGTAAATTGGATTGATGTGGATCTGATGAATGCAGGGCCCCGATGACCTACAGAGAGAGCTGGGGCTGTTCCTGGGCTCTGGCAGAGTCCTGCTTCACCCTTGAGAATTGTGGGGCAGCACCAGGCTTTGCTAGAATCATGGAATGGCTTAGGCCGAATAGGACTTTAAAGCTCAAGTCCAACCCTATCCTTGTTCTTGAGCTCTTGTCTTTTTTTCCAGTGATCCTTGATGGATACACCCTTTCTTAAGGTTTTCTATATTAATTACCTTTAATCACCACAGTTCCCCATGAGGCTCCTGTGCCTACGTGAAAAGAGAGCAGAGGCTCCCTGGGAGGCCATGGTAACACAGGCTGTGCCCCTGTAGCCAGGGAGGTGCCTGGGGAGCAGAGATGGACCTGCAGCCCCTGGAGGAGCCTGAGCAGAGCAGGGGATGTGCCCTGAGGGAGCTCTGAGCCTGTGCAGAGGCTGTGCTAGGGCAGGCCCTGGGGTGCAGCAGCTCCGGCAGAACCTCAGGGATCCATCCATGCTGGAGGTGCCTGGAGGCTGGGCCATGGGAGGAACCCCAGGCTAGAGCAGGGGAAGAGGAGGAGGAGAAGGAGGAAGGAGCAGCAGAGACAAGGGGTGATGGACTGAGCACAGCCCCCATTGCCCATCCCCCTGCACAGCTGTGGGGGAGGAGGTGGAGAATTTGGGACAGAAGTTGAGCCTGTGGAGAAGGGAGAGGTGGGGGGAAGATGTTTTATGATTTATTTCCCATGATACTCAGAGGAGTGGATTAACAGCAATTTAAACAGTATCATAATTTATGCACCAGCTGCCCACTGTAAGCAGGACAATAAATACAGTCCATGAGAGAGCTGCCCTCAAACCCTGCTCAGTAAGTCCCGGCGAAGCTCTGAGTGAGCCTGGTGGCCTCTTGGTCTGTGAGCTCTGGGATGCAATGCTGGGCACTGGAAAACCCAAACCCACCTCAAGTGGGAAAATGGAATCTCTCCCAGCCACCAGGACCTGGTGTAACCAAACTCCTTTAGGCCTGGAGGAGAAAGGCTCCAGGGAGAGCTCAGAGCCCCTCTCAGTGCCTATAGGGGCTCAGGAGAGCTGGACAGTGACTTTGGACCAGGGCCTGCCGGGACAGGACAAGGTGAAATGGCTTCCCAGAGGGCAGGATTGGCTATTACTGGTCCATCTTCCCACCATCAAATCTCACCTCAGTCACAGAGTGGAAAATAGCTGGGTTCTTGAATTTAAATTCAAGTCCCTCTGAGCCCTGACTCTCATGACACTTCATCCTACCATCTTCATGTAGCTCTCGGTCCTAAGGCTCCCAAAGCCATTAGAACTCAAGACCAGGACACAGCATTTTCATGGGATTATTTCATCTGCTCCTGAAATAAATCCTGTTTATGAGGAAAGGGGGAGGCTTGGCTCCAGGAGATACTGCAATTCCTCAGAGGAATGCCTTGAGAGAGGATGCTGTGGCACAGTGTCTAACTGGAACTGCACATGTGGTTCAGGGAGGAGTGTACAATTCTTTACTCCTGCTCAAGAGAAGCCCAACTGTGATTAACTGCACCAAACCTTTCTAGAGATGCTCCTGTTCCAGCTGGTGACATTACTCCTGCCAACACTCCCAACCCTAACAGGCTGAGGAGTTGAAGTCTGCATGTCATCAGCTAAGCCAGGTCATTCTGTCTTGACAGGAAGCAGGTAAGTCTGTCGCAAGCCTGCTGACCACCCCTTCCCTAGGGGCTAAAGAGCTCACTCAGACCTCCCTCCCCCCTTGAACTCCCTCCCAGCACCCTGCAAACAGCCTCAAGGCCAGAGTTACATGCAAAGACTTCTATTAGCTTCAAAGAGTTAAAAGGTGGCCAAACAATCCAGAGAAAACTCAAAAGGTGCTGAACCCCCACCCTCCCAGCCTTCCCAAACTTCAGAGGGTTCAGACACCTCGAAATGGGACACTGGCAGCAGTGCAGGCTCAGAGGCAGCCAGGGAAGGCCAGGCTGAGGCTCTCAGGGATGTGGAGCTGCCCAGGTGCAGGGTGGGGGCGGCGAGGGGCATCAGGGAAGATGTGGCTGGTGTCCCCCAGGAGCTCCTCAGGTCCCTCCCCGTGGGGTCCTGCAGCCGCCTTGAGGGGCAATGGTCAGATGGGGACTGCTCCAGGCTGGGGGCGTCCGTGCAGGGCACCCCCCGGTGCCACTCACTGCTGAGGATGTGCTGCTCCAGCCCCAAGGCCGGGGTGTATGCCCGGGGCATCTCCACAGCCTGGAGGGAGAGTGGGACAGGGACAGGGACAGGGACGGGCTGGCACATCCTGCCGTGTCTGGGTACAGCGTGCCAGCCCAGGGCACCAAGGAAGGGGCTGCCTGGAGGCTCCAGTTTCCCTGCCAGACCCTCACCCTGTGGAAGGCCACCTCACCCTGCAGGTTCTCCTGGTCTTGCTCCAGGTGGGGATATTTCTGCACCAGGCTCCAGAAGCATCCTCTGTCTCTGCTGCAGGAGCAGCTCTGTGGGGACAGCCACAGCTCTGTGGGGACAGCCACAGCACACGTAGGGACAGCCACAGCACACGTGGGGACAGCCACAGCTCTGTGGGGACAGCCATGCCGTGACCCCTCGGAGAGGGGATGGCAGAGACACATCGAGCCTGCCCACACCCAGGGGCAGAGCACCCCTTTTACCTTCCAGACCCCGGGACTGCTCCAAGGTGTGCTGGATCAGGGCTCTCCTTCCCCAGCTGCATCCATCTCACAGCCTCCATCCCCACCAAGAGCTGTGGGGAGGCAGAAGGGAGGCACAGCCTGAGCCCTGCCCAGTGGGCTCCCCCCAGGGACCACCACATGTGCCCAGGAGAGCTCTGTGGAGCTCCAGAAGAGCAGGAGCATCCCCCAGCATCCTGCCCAAGCTCCTTGACCTCCTGGCCCAGGCAGCTGTGCCTCTCCAGCTGTGCCAGCTGCTGGACCTGGGCATCACGGGCCGTGTCCTCCTGCAGTTGCTGCATCTCATCCCACGGGCCCTGCAGCTCCTCGGCCCCAAGAGCTGCTCCTGCAGCTGCTGCTTCTCCTGGGCCTGAGGAGAGGGGCAGAGCTGGTGCCCTTTGGTTTTGCCTCTTTTTCCCTTTTCTGTTATCGGTATTGTCACACATACATCTGTAACTCTGTAGCCTATTGTATTACTAACTCATTTTCCCAGTACTTTTCCATGGCCTTTCCCTAAGCAGAAAGACAAACTCCAGAGTTCCAAGCCCCCCTGTGCTATCTTGGTTCTTCCTGGGAAGCAAGGCCGAGAACAGCTCTTTGAGATACATTTTCATGGACAAAGCACAGCTAGTACCAAGGCAGGGGGCTCCAGAGGAGGGGGTTGACCTGGGGGGAAATTGAATAACCACTTGTCTTCCTAATTGGTGCTTTTTATCAATTATGCTAATTTCCTAAAACCTATAAATATGTACTCATTCCTGTGGGGTTGGGCTTTTGTGGACAACTTTTCAGAACTGACTCTGAAAGGCCTTTATGATGGAATAGAGAAAATAAAGATCTGCTTTTATATTACCTCCTTACTAAAATGATCTTGAGTTTCATTTCCAGGTTGGGAAAAAGGCAACAGAGCATCAGGCAGGGCTGGGAACAGGGGCAGGGACACATCCCCATGTGTCACATCACTGAGAGCTGCCACTCAGAGGCTGCCCCTCTGTAATGAGAGCCCATTTCCCAAAATCTCTTCGGAGATCTGAGCCTTGGGATTGCCCCACAGAGAGCTCAGGCCTGGGAGAGCAGCTCTGCCCTGTCACCCCACGGGCTCTAAAGCTCCTGTGAAGGTCCCTTCCCCACCTCCAGGCTGATCCCCACAGCAGGATTACCCTGCCCCGTTTTCTGCAAGTCCCAGACAGGATCACACCACCTCCCTCAACCCCCAGAGACACCCCCAGAACTGGGGCAGTGACAGCGCAGAGAAACCCAGATGGTGAAAAGGGACACTGCCAGCACAGCAGCAGAGGGGCAGTGTCACAGCAGAGCTGTCCCTGGCACACAGGGACGCACAGGAGCTGTCTCTGGCACACAGGGACGCACAGGAACATGTTCCTGGCACACAGGGACACACAGGAGCTGTCCCTGGCACACAGGGACACTCAGGAACCTGTCCCTGGCACATGGCAGCGCTGCAAGGCTGCACCCAGGAGGGTGCCCCACCCATCCCAATGCCACAAAGGAGCACAGAGATCCAGAGCAAAGCCCAGAGGC